AGCTCACAGCAACCTCCAACTCCTGGGCTCAAGCGAGTCTCCTGCCTCAGCCTCCCAAGTAGCTGGGACCACAGGCGCCCACCACAACGCCTGGCCATTTTTTGGTTGCAGCCGTCATTATTGTTTGGCGGGTCCGGGCTGGGGATTCAAACCCGCCACCTTAGGTGTATGTGGCTGGCGCCTTAGCCGCTTGAGCCACAGGCGCCGAGCCAAGAGAGGGATGGTTTCTAATGGTAAAATCCCACCAGGTCTGATTGCTAAGGCGCCCTGCCAGTTGGCTTATTTTGGAATATGCTTTGCCAGAATGTAAAACTATTCTAAGGAAGAGATTCCTTACACAGCATATGAAGCTGTCTGGCAAGATTTCATTCAGTTGTTGCAAATGAAAAAAATAAAACTCTCACCCCCCTGGTAGTCGGGAAATGCATAGAAGGTATTTTAATTGAAAATGCTAAAGAGTTTGCTGTGGCTGGTTAATATTCTCTAAGTGAGCTTAACTTAGATCTTTCCTGTACATAAAGAAATGATGAGAGATTCTTTCACTATTATTTTCCAAAATTATATATATAAGTTAGCATTATAGATGTACATGAAACAAACACAATAAGGTCTAAATTTGTTTTTAAGTTTCACAGAAGAATTTGTTTTCTATTTATGATTATAAATAAAAAGAAAACAAGTTCATGGAAATGTGTCCATCGTGTTCTAGCTTATGTTAGTCTTATGCTTCTCATCCCTCATATATTCTGATAGATTCTGAAAGGTCTGGATCTCACAATTAAGTCTGGAGAGACGGTAGCCTTGGTTGGCCCCAATGGCAGCGGGAAGAGCACGGCAGTCCAGCTTCTGCAGAGGTTGTATGATCCTGATGATGGCTTTGTAAGTGCAGCTAGCAAACCCATGCTTGGTCCACAGGATGGAATTTGGAAGTCCCACCTGGGGAGCTCTCACAGCTATGTCAACTTCAATTTTTAACAGTGGGGCTGGGAGGGAAGTGATATAATTTTCTTCCCTGTGTAGTCATCCATTCCACAAAGACTTCTATGTGTTACACTCTGTTCTGGGTTCTAGGACTACTTTGGTGAACAAAACAGATACAATAAAAATCTCTGTCTTCTTAAAAATTATATTCTAATACCTCGAGACAGACAATAGATGAAATAAGCAGATTATATAGTGTGTTAAAAGGGTTTGAATGCTGTGGAGAAAAATTGCATAGCAATTTATGGTACCCAGGATTTCAGACTTCGTCAAAAACATCCCAGGAGAATGATGCCTGTAGAACATAGCCACACTCTTACTTTTTTTTCTGTAGTTTAATAATGTTAGACTTAACATTTTCATCTCTGTACATGGCCTAGATAATGAGACTGTGATATTCATCAGTGCATAATACTTCAGGCTTCTATTCAAAATTTCAACTGTTTTTTTTTGTTTTTTTTTGTTTTTTTAATGAGACAGAGCCTCAAGCTATCCCCCTGGGTAGAGTGTGTGATATCACAGCTCACAGCAACCTCCAACTCCTGGGCTCAAGCGAGTCTCCTGCCTCAGCCTCCCAAGTAGCTGAGACCACACGTGCCCGCCATAATGCCCAGCTATTTTTTGGTTGCAGCCGTCATTGTTGTTTGGCAGGCCCGGGCTGGATTCAAACCCGCCACCTTAGGTGTATGTGACTGGTGCCTTAGCCACTTGAGCCACAGGCGCCGAGCCTCAAAATTTCAACTGTTGTTGAAAAGAAAATCTATTCTCCAACAGTCTGGTTTCATTCAAATTTTACTCCTCAGTCTTCTGTATATACTAGGAGAATCCTAGACCCATATGTCTATGCCAATTCCAGACTAAATAATTTAGTATTCCATGTATAAAGCAGTTGCATAGAAAACTCATGCCCAGACAGAATGCCTACACTGCTGAGAAATAGAGAGTCTCTGAGCTATCATTACCGAACACTGGCTTCTTGTCACTGGAATACATTGGGGTTAGAGATAATGGTAGTAACTATGGAGAAGACAAAGTTCATTTGCTACTATGTCTAACAATGAATGGAAGACACATTGGCTTTTGCAGAGGAGTGAGGTATTGAAGAAAGGTAATAAAGGCCAATTCCTAGAAGGAACTTAAAGGTCACATCAATCTTCAAAGAACAAAATGAAGTTTGATATAGTTGTCTACATAATAACACGTGTGGCATGTAGAATAAATATCTTCGTAATACCTAATCTGTGGATCTTGGAGTAAAGGAATTGAGGTGGTTTGTCAAGATTTTAAGCCAATTATTTTTTGAGATTTTGTTTGTTCCTGTCAGAAAAAAAAGTCTCCTGACAATATATGAAGTCAGACAATTAAGTTTGTGATGTCATCCTCAAGAAAGTATTGCAGACCTTGTTGCTGAGTCTCACCACAGTCACTTTCCCAGTACTCCCTGTGGGAAGCTATGCACCCACCCCAGGGTCTGGTCTGCCCTTCAAAGCAATTTTGGAACTCTTTTTCTTGGAATAGCCATTGGAGCTATCGTAGGATGGGGTCTGACAGAATTAAGTTTCCAAACTCACCCTAGATAAAATGCTTTGATAAAATGCTCTGAAGGGTAAACTAGGCACTTGTTCATGCATGACTTCCCAAGGGGAGTAACTCGAATGCAACCATAGCAATACTCTGCAATGAGGCACGTAGCACTTTCTATGATGAATGTGCAAATTTGAGCTTAACTGTCCAACCTCATACATGTTATAAATATTTGATCAAAATATAGTCTATCTCTGGTAACAGAAATATGCTACTTCTCAGCTTGTATTTTGGACGCGTAAGAGAGACTCTAACCTATTCTTTGGATGGGCAGATCACGGTGGACGGGAAGGACATCAGAGCTTTAAATGTGCGGTATTACCGAGAACATATCGGAGTGGTCAGACAAGAGCCTGTTCTGTTCGGGACCACCATCAGCAAGAACATTAAGTGTGGGCGAGATGGCGTGACGGATGAAGAGATGGAGAAAGCAGCAAAGGAAGCAAATGCTTATGATTTCATCATGGAGTTTCCCAATGTGAGTACACCTGCACCCTCAGCCCTTAGCTTGCAGCCACAGCGCTGCAGCACTCCAAAATAAGATAATGAAACAGTCACTTCTGCAGAATAGAAGGAGGATGAGTCATTGATGGCTTGTCCTAGATGAAACATATGTAGAAAAGACAGCATGGTAATGAAAAAGAGAGACAGAGATAAAGAGAGAGAGAAGTTCATCACTGAAAGGCCAATTTTAAAAAGAGTCATAATTAGTGCTACAAAATGAAAAGAAAAAAATGAAGGATATGTTGAAGCGTGACAAAGAGCAAGGAGGGAAAATCATCAGCCCCGGCGAAGAAATCTGTCTGTAAAATGTTGATTTGTGAGGCCATCTTGTGGTTCAGAGTGGGAATGTCACCCTCATGATGTTCAGAATGTTTCTGTGACAAGGCAGAAGGAAAACTGTGATTATTTTTTAAGCACGTGGAGCTAATATCTGATGAGAAGTGTGGGATCATGTTTGGGAAGAGAGAGTAAACTAAAATTCCTAACAATAGGACGTATCAGATCTTGATGGGTATTTAGAATTAAAAGAGAGCTATAAAACCATTAATTTACATTTCCTGAATCATTAGTTTATCAGTATTACCTGAAATCTCTGTGGGGTGCACCCTGTGAAATATGAAAGGATGAGATTTGGAATTCAAATGCATATATATTCATCATTTAAGGGTGGTGCCTGTGGCTCAAAGGAGTAGGGCACAGGCCCCATATGCCAGAGGTGGTGGCAGGTTCAAACCCAGCCCTGGCCAAAAACTGTAAAAAAAAAAAAAAAAAAAAAAAAAAAAAAAAAAAAAGATTCATCATTCCAGAAAGTTAAAAGAAGAAAAAATTTCATTTTTAATGGACATAGTTTATAAACCTACCCCTTGGGTTATAATGATTTTATTCTTCCTTTTGCTTTTTCCACAAAAACTTTTGTTATGTCAGTAATTAATTCCTATGTCGGTTACTTAGGACCATAATTAGAGTAGTATTTAGGCCGTAAAAGTCCTTAAAGGTTGAGGGGATCCTTTGGCTCTAGTTTGGGCACACATGCTTTCTTAATTGACCTTTGCTTCTTTCAATTACTTTCTTTTCTCAAAACACCAATGCTCGTCATTTCCCATGTGGAATTTGGGAGCTTTCTGTTGCTTCTTAAATTATACCGCATAAGTTACTACTTGCTTTTACTAAAAAGTCAATACTATACAAAAATGCCATTTGCTATAAATCTAATAGCAACTTCTGAAAATATAATCTAAAAAATTAAAGGTACTAGCGTACCATGATGAAAACTAAATTTGACTGCCATAGCTAACCACAAAAGTAAAAGGATAACAACAAAGAAAAGTTCCAGAAGTGTCTATTTTAGGTAGGTGGAAAAAAACAGGGAAAGCTATATTCAAAAATGAATAGCATCAATTTTTACATTAATATATTAATGTTAGGTATAGCTGCCACTGTCTAGCCCTTCTCCCATAAACAACCATAAAACTATCTAAAATATATGAAGCATAGGGCCATTGTTTCCATGCATTGGACAAAATATAGTGAAAGACTGTGATTGCTGAGAGAAAGGAAACAAAGAAGAACTCTATGAATTTGCAGCATTCTGCCTTGGGAACACATTGCTGACCTCATCTCTATGACCTGGAATCCAGCCAGAACATGGCAGCCCCACTGAGCTGAAAGGCACAAATCTAACTTGAGGGCAGCTGAAGTAACTTGGACAGGTGATACAGGAGCTGTAAAGTTCAGATGGCAGAAGACCATGTGGGCATCCCTCAGGAATCCCTGTCTGAGGAGAAGACTACCAGAGATTGACTAGAGCACACTGCCCACAAATCTAGGAATAGAAAAGATACCAGAAGTCAGGAAGTATCTCTCTCTCTCTCTCTCACACACACACACACACACACACACACATCCACTTGGATGCTGAGAGCACATTAATACCTTTTTAACATCCCAAGCACATACGGAGGACACACAAAAAGCCACACCTTAGTAGTCAAGACCCCACCTTAGAATAGGATGTACTCTAGGCCTGCCCTAACAAAGCCTAAAACCAAGCCATGACAAATCCCTAGAGGGGACAGAATTTGAAGATTGGGTTCTGCCAAGTTATTACACTTTCTAAAAATTTATCCCAACAAAGCAAAAAATCAAGATTGCGCAAGTTCCAGGTGATCAGTCAGTATTTGAATTGCCTACTGCAAAAAAAAAATCAAAGTTTGTTCTCAAATTCTGGTCTCTCCAACACATCGTACACATTATTCAGGGTACAATCTATCAAAACTAGACATGCACAGAAATAGGAAAATACAACCTGTAGGTAAAAAAACATGATCCTAAATGTTTATTCATTTTAAAAAGTGTCGAAATAAATGAGGCAAAAACTGTTACACCAGAAAAGGGAAATAGACAAAGTCACAATTTTACTTGTGAAGACTTCTATACTTGTAGAACCAGTAGGGACTGTCAGTAAGGATATAGGTAGCCTTAAGGATGTTACCAACCAGCCAGGTCTAACTGACAAAACACATTAGCCAACAATAGCAGAATGCATTCTTCTCAAGGGCCCATGGAATAGTCATGAGATGAACAGTGTTCTTGGTCATTAAACAAACATAAAACAAAACAAAGCCTTAGCAATTTTAAAGAATAGAAAACATAAAATACATTATTTAGATCATAATAGAATTCAACTAGAAATCAATAACAGATATATATCTGGAAAATAAATATTTGAAAATTAAATAACATACTTCTAAATAATCTATGGTTCAAAGGGAAGTTTTGAAAAATTAGAAAGTATTTTGAACTAAATGAAAAGGCAGTGTATTACTACATATTGAATATGGTTAAAGCACTGCTTTGAGAGAAACTTATAAAATCAAATGCTCATTTTTTGAAAAGAAAAATGATCTTTGATCTGTAAATCAATTTTCCACCTTGAGGAACTAAATACAGAAGAGCAAATTAACCAAAACAATAATCTAAATTAAAAGCAGAAATCAGTGAAAGCTAAAATTGGAGAACATGAGAAACAATTATTGAGACCAAAAGCTGTTTTCTTTAAAACATCAATAAAATTAGTAAACCTCTAGCAAGGATGAGAGAGAAACAGAAGAAGGAGGAAGAAGAAGAGGAGAAAAGGGAAAGGAAGAGAAGAGAAGAGAAAAAAAGGGAAGGGGGAGGGGAAAAGGAGGGAAGGGAAAGTGAGGAGGGATTATGACTAATATCAGGAATGAAAGAAAGTGCTTGACTACTGATCTCAAAGACATTAAAAGGCTTATAAGGAAATTCTGTGAAAAAAGCTATGTCTAAAAAGGCCACTTGCACTGGTATGTTCATTGCGGCACAATTCACAATTGCTAGATGTGGGACTGACCTAAGTGCCTACCCACTGATGAGTGGGTAAAGAAAATAGACACACACACACACACATATACACCCCAGCGAATACTACTCAGTCATCAAAAAGAATGAAATAATGTCTTTTGCAGCAATACAGAAAGAATCAAAAGTCATTATACTAAGTGGAAAAGGGGCAGAGCAAGATGACCAAATAAAAACCTACAGTAATCATCCCTCTGCACAAACACCAAACTCAAATACCTACAAGCAAGAACCAAAAGTCAGATAAGCCTTAATACCCAGTTTTAACATTGTATTGAAGCCAGAGACACAGAAGAGAACAGAAAGGACAGTCGTGCATTCCTACACCACCCCTACCCCATCCCCTGGCAGTACCATGCCAGCACCACCAGTGGAGAGAGAATTTGTGTGCTGGGGGAAGGGAGTGAAGTGATTATGGGACTTTGCACTGAAATTCAGGGCTGCCCCAACACAGGGGAACACAGCACAGGGCTGAATTGTGCCAGTGCCCACAGAGGCAGCATTTAGACAAGCCTGGAAATTCTCTTCTTCTGCCCTGAAAATGAGTTCCAGCTAGCTACACCACCAGCTGAAAGAAAGCAGCCTGGGCTTGGACTTAATTAGTAAGGCAGTTGGGCCCCAAAGGGTTCAGTCCTTGCACAATTTCTGCAATTGTGCTGGCTCCTTGGATCCAGTGGACTCGATAGTGCACATGACCTAATGAGACACCAGCAGCATCGCCAAGCCAGTGCCTGTGTTATACCCTCCCCAACTACAGGCAGTATGGCTCAAGGAGTCTTCTTCCTCTTGGGAAAAGGAAAGGGAAAAGCACAGGAGACTTTGTTTTTCAACTTGGGTACCAACTCAGCCACAGTAAAATAAAGAACTGAGCACACTCCTAAAACCCGAGTCCAGGCCTTAGTTCTTGGATGGCTTTTCTCAGTCTATCCTGGGCCAGAAAGAAACATGTTGTCCTGAAGGGAAGGACCCAGTCCTAGCAGGATTCACCATCTGCTAACTAAAGAGCATTTGGACATTCAATAAATATCAGAGGTAGCCAGGCAACCGTCACCTCCAGCTTTGGGTGAGATAGGGATGGTTTCAGGTGTGACCTGGTGCTGCTGGCCATGAGGGAGCACTCGCATCGCTTCTCTCTCAACTTCTGCAGCCCAGCCCAGAGGGTAAGAGGAGAATGAGAGACTTTTCCTGGTAATCTAGGGAGTTCTCTCATATCTTCCCCAAGTCCACCAAAATGGTACCACCAGGAATCTGCAAGAGTCATAGCATCACTGGATTTAGGGTACCTCCTGTGCTGACACAGTTGCAATGACCAAACAGATCACAAAACTCAATTTCCTTTAAAGATCTAGAAAGCCTTCTCAGGAACAATGGGTTCAAAAAAACTCAGACCATGAAAATTAAAATAAATCCGTAACTCTTCAATGTCCAGATACTGATGAATACCCACAAGCATCAAGAACATCCAGAAAGACATAATTTCACCAAATGAACAAAATAAAGTATCAGTGACCAGCCCCAGAATGATGGAGCAGGTGACTTTTCAGACAAATAATTCCAAATATCTGTCCTGAAGAAGCTCAGTGAATTCAAGACAAC